ACCCACAACAAAACACTAAGTCTCTTTCCACGTCATCAAAAAATTAATTATCTTCTTAAATTTATTCATATCGTGAATATAATTAATTTTTCACCAATTTTCCAAATTTTTTTATTAATCTCCATGAATTTATTTTGAGCTGTGAATACAACTTAAACTCTTTTCAATTGTGGACATATAGTAAAGGAGATACTACCTGAAGATTAGACACCCTAGCTTATTTCACCTAATTAAACACTGCTACCTGGAGGGAGGGGGTAGGTGAAGGTTAGGTTGCGTTAAGTTACGGCACAATAGGTTAGGTTTAGTTAGGTTAGGTTAGTTTAGGTTAGGTTTCATTACGTTAGACTAAGTTAAGATTAGGTTAGGGTTCATTTAGGTTAGAATTAGGGTGTCTAGTCTTCAGGTGATCCCCCCGTAACTCACCCCTGCACCACCCACGTCACCTTCTAACCTATAATCAACAGGGATTCTCGATAACCAACTCATCCATAATCCGCAAATCCTAATTAATCCCCCATGGTGATTACCCACTGATTATTCTACCGCGATAATTTCCATCCAAGTAATAATAATTCTAGGCGCTTAAATCCGACTTCATTGGTCATTGGGTAGCCCTCCTGTCTTCAATAATCCCCAACGTTAATCCCCTAATCCTCACAGGCAATAATTTCCAGTAGCCGAGCCCCGGTGTTAATCTCGTCTCATGCTAATCCCCTGCATGATAAACACAGCCACAAAAATCTCTAATCCCAGTGACCGTAAAATATTAATGCGGTCTCCAATATCATTCATCATCATCATTATCATTCGGTTTTATATCACCAAAAAATCCGAAATGGATGTTGGAGAGAGAGAGAGAGAGAGAGAGAGAGAGAGAGAGAGAGAGAGAAACCGCACACCCCGAAACATATAATATCATGTCGTGTTGATAAGCCATTGCAGTGGACCATTCTCATGCCTTTTATCTCTCTCTCTCACACACACACACACACACACACACACACACACACACACACACACACACACACAGAAGCTATGTGTGTGTTACAACAATATACACGAAATACCTCGACCTCCGCAGCATCATACAACAAGACTGTCAGCATATACGATATAGATATAGGCGTAGACAGCATCATACGTAAATTTGCTGATGACATTAAAATAGGGGGATGTAATAAAATCTGACGAGGACTCCGCAAAACTACAGGAAGATCTAAAAACAAATTTCGCATGATCTGAAAAATGGCAGATTAAATTTTATGTGGACAAATGTAAAGTACTTAGTCTAGGAGATGTAAACAGAGAAACCAGATACCAGATGAACAACGATGTTATAGAGAAATCCGACTGTGGAGTAATGATAAATAGGAATCTTAAACCAAGTCAACAATGTGTATTTGCTCGAAACAAGGCTAATAAAGTATTTGGGTTCATACAAAGGAGAGTTAGTTACAAGACTAGCGAGGTTATCCTAAAACTATACCTTGCGCTTGTGAGACCTCACTTGGATTATGCGGTTCAGTTCTGGTCACTGTACTACAGAATGGATGTAGAATCCCTCGAAAGAATTCAGAGGAGAATGACAAGACTAATCCCGGGTATTAGGAACCTTGAGTATAGAGACAGGTTAAAGCATCTTAATCTGCACTCCTTCGAGAGACCTAAAGTGAGGGGCGATATGATCCAGGTGTATAAATTGAAGTCAGGGCTAAACAAAGGTGAAGTAACAAAGGTACTCAAACTATCCAACCAGGAGCGAAATCGTAGCAATGGTTTTAAATCAGACAAATTTACATTTAGGCGCGAGATTGGTAAACATTGGTTTGGAAATAGAGTAGTGGATGAGTGGAACAAGTTACCGAACTTCATCATTAAATCGAACACGCAGGGTAGCTTCAAATATAGGTTGGACTGATATGTGAGCGATAGGGGTTGGGTGTAAACGGGACTGCCTAGAAAGGAAAGAAGGGTGGACGATTAAACCATAGTCAGTGAAACGGGAGAAGATCAAATCAACTGTCAATAATCTGTTCATCTGGAGGTCAGGTTAACGACAGAAAGCTATATCAACAGTAGAATAGTTCAAAACTTGTTCACCTCAGGTCAGGTTAAAAGGACGTCGGGTTCGGTCAGGTATACAGAGCAAGGTCTGTAAAGAGGTCATCCCGGCGCTGGTGGGTAGTGCTTTGCTGACGTCAGTGAGGAGACTCCCGCGCTCCCTCGCCTCTCACAGTTGATAAACAGAACATTTTATGGTTCTTCATACTATATTGTGTTACCTCAGTATCTCATATAGAAAATATTACTAGTAGAGCGTCTCATCTTGCATATATCTCCTGTCACCTCACCTCACACCTGCAAATGGCCCAACTACTCATTGCGTGGCCCCCTTCTGCTCATCCGACGTTAACTCCCTAATTAGAGACAAAAAAGGCATCCGTCAGCGCTGGTAAGAGCACTACCATTCGCTGCCCAACCGAAAAACAGATGTGGATGTACTGATTACCCAACAGGTTCCTCAGCACCCAGGGCTGACCCACCTCTGCCATCAAGCAGATGAAAAGTAACAAAGCCTGATGGAATCCCAGTCGAGGTGTATAAAGCAGCAGGACCTCTGCTTACCAGCCGTCTCTACTCTCTCCTGGAGAAGACAGAGGAAAGGGAAGAAATCCCCCAAGATCTTAAAGACGCCTGGATCGTCAATAATATAAGAACAAGGAAGACCGTTCAGATTGTGGCAACTACCGCGGGATCTCGCTGATGTCCGTAGCTGGCAAGATTATCACAATAGTTCTCTTAAACAGACTACTTCCTAAGGCGGACAATTTCCTCCCAGAATCTCAATGTGGCTTTAGACCCTCATGTGGCACCACTGACATGATTTTTGCTGCCAGCCAGATACAGGAAAAATGCAGAGAACAGCATCGTGACTTGCACATGGCCTTTATTGACCTTACTAAGGCCTTCGACTCGGTCAACAGGGAAGACCTCTGGCGGACCCTTAGTCGGTTTGGTTGCCCACCAAAATTTAATGCCATTGTGAGGCAATTCCACGATGGCATGAACAGCAGTGTCTTACACAATGGCAGCCAGTCTGAGTTCTTCCCCATCCAATTGGGGGTAAAACAGGGATGTGTGCTGGCACCAACTCTCTCTTCCATTTTCTTGGCTGCCTTCCTTACTGGTGCCAGTGCCAATTTAGCCGGTGGGGTGGACATCCAATACCGAATGAAGGGTTGTTTCAACATAAGACGACTCCAGGCAGGAACAAAGGTGTTGGTCGCTTCCATCACTGAATTTCAGTATGCAGACGATCTCACCCTCATCGCTCACACTGAACGCAACCTACAGCAGATCCATAATACCTACGCAGATGAGGGTGCACACTTCGGCCTTGAGGTGAATGCACATAAGACTCACATTCTCTTTCAGCCTGCCCCTGGTTCAACTTCACCTTCACCATACATCCAGCATAACGGTACTACCCCCTCTAATGTTACCCACTTCCAGTACCTTGGCTCCCACCTGTCCACTACCGCGGACATCGATGAAGAGATTCAACATCGGCTCACATGTGAACCTCAAGCCTTTACCAGACTCCGTAACTGTTTCTTCAGCTGTTGGGAGCTGAAATTATTTACAAAGTTCTACGTGTATCGAGCAGTGGTCCTCCCCACCCTGCTGTATGGCAGCGAGACATGGGTCACATACAGGAGGCACCTCAAGGCACTCGAAAACTTTCACCAACGTAGTCTACGTTCCATCCTTTGTGTTCGCTGGGAAGACAAGAGAACAAATGCCAGTATTCTTATTGACACCAACTGTAGGAGCATCGAGGTTACCATTATCCATGGACAACTGCATTGGAATGGCCATGTTACCCACATGTACGACAGTACACTGCCAAAGCAGCTACTTTACAGTCATGCTGGCGGACAATGGAAAAGGTATAAGGATAGTCTTAAGACAAACCTGAAAAAGTGCCAAGTCGACCCACACCTGGAGCACGGTCATTCCACACCTTAACGCTTGGAGGAGCACCATACGAGTGTCAATACTTTCGAGTTAGCCCGACTGCATACCGAGGCAGACAAGCGCCAGTGTCGGTAAGACGCTGCCGCCACCTCTCCCGCACTATATGAAGCCCTCCACACGTGCTACATTTTTGGATGGCCCTGCTGATCCCGTATCGGCCTCTCGAGTCACCCCAAGCTCACCAACGAAGGTAACATCCTTAACAAGTCATACTATTGTATCATAGCTGGATGATCGTCCTACTCGGTTCTGAGTGACAGCAAAGTAGTTGTAGTAGGTGACTGTAGTAGGGTGTGGGTGATTATGGGAGTGTGGGTGACTATTGGGGTGTGGATGACTGTGTGGGGGATAAAGGTGACTGTAGTAGTAGGGTGTTGGTGACAGGAGAGTAGGGGGTGAATGTGGGGCTACCTGATAAGGGTTGAATAACCGCAAAGTCACATAATCACAATTATTCCCAAACCTTCACCTAAACTAATCAAACATAACTCAACCTAACCCAACCCAACCCAACCCAACCATTATCTGTACTGACACATCCCAACAAATCGTCTCAACTCTTTGACACTTCACGCCGACTTACCCACCTCCGCAGGGTCACAAGCACTTGCATGGCGGATCAACACTAAGACAAAACAAGCACTGCAGCGGAAAATCCAATCTCACATGTATAAAGGAAGTGTCTTACGTGCATTAGAACTATAAGACAAAGACTCTCGACACGACAAACGGGGAGGAACGGTAATAGCACAGGTGACAATACCTTAGCCAAATACACGAGGAAAAGACAAGTGGTTTAGCATATTTATTTTGCCAACGCTATCTGATTAAAGGTTTCTGGTGCATTGCTAATTTGAATACAGCAAAAAAATAGTGGTGTGTAGTGGTGGGGGGTGGTAATGGTGGTGGTGGTGGCGACGGTAGGCGAGGCAGTGAGTGTAGTAGGCAAGGCAGAGAGTATGGGAGGCGAGGCAGTGAGTATGGGAGGCGAGGCAGTGAGTATGGCAGGCGAGGCAGAGAGTATGGCAGGCGAGGCAGAGAGTATGGCAGGCGAGGCAGAGAGAGAGTATGGCAGGCGAGGCAGTGAGCATGAGGCAAGGCAGAGAGTATGGCAGGCGAGGCAGAGTATGTATGGCAGGCGAGGCAGAGAGTATGGCAGGCGAGAGGCAGAGAGTATATGGCAGGCAGGCGAGGCAGAGAGTATGGCAGGCGAGGCAGAGAGTATGGCAGGCGAGGCAGAGAGTATGGCAGGCGAGGCAGTGAGTATGGGAGGCGAGGCAGAGAGTATGACAGGCGAGGCAGAGAGTATGGCAGGCGAGGCAGTGAGTATGGCAGGCGAGGCAGTGAGACAAGAGCTAAGGCCATCGTAAAGTACAGTTGACAGCAGGGTGTGAGTGAACAAGACAACCACACTGGCAGGAGGAGGAAGGGCGCTACCTGTGCACATAATCCCAGCTATTTGTTCAGGTGCGGTCTTATTGCACCTTGCTAGGGGGGGATATTATGGTTGGTGGAGGAGGAAGGTTGTGGTAGGGGTGGTGAGGGAGGAAGGTTGTGGTAGGGTGGTGGGGGGGTGGTTGTGGTAGGGGTGGTGAGGGAGGAAGGTTGTGGTAGGGGTGGTGAGGGGGAGGAAGGTTGTGGTAGGGGTGGTGGGGAGGAAGGTTGTGGTAGGGGTGGTGGGAGGAAGGTTGTGGTAGGGGTGGTGGTGATTTGCATCGATATAGTCTCTCTCTCTCTACACACACACACACACACATATACAGAGAGAGAGAGAGAGAGAGAGAGAGAGAGAGAGAGAGCAACTCCTACGTGGTTACATAAGTGTCCACAAGAGGAACATTACACAAGTACAGGTAATAACAACTCTCACGTAGCTACAGTATCAGTCATACTTTAACCCAGATACAACACAACACACAGTTACAACACTACAAGTGGTAATCAACACAACACTACAACACTCTGGCAGTCAACACAACACTACAACACTCTGGTAATCAACACAATATAATGAACCAATCACGACCGCTCCTCACATGATACCTGGTTGCCCACCTGGCTCAGCCTCACCAATTAACGTTCATTTATACATACTGAAGCGTTACCCCATAAGAACAAGAGTGGGGTCTCTCTCTCTCTCTCTCTCTCTCTCTCTCTCTCTCTCTCTCTCTCTCTCTCTCTCTTGGAGCTGAAGAACAGTAAGAGGTGGTCACTACATTACTGCTAAAACAAAAGAAAAAACTAAATTAGCGTCCTTTTTTGTTAATTAACCTGACACAACACCTGACCAGTACTTTTTAATTCAATCTGTACTCGAAATGATACTTTTGGATATAAAATGTTTATTGATTCCGAATACTATCTTCAGAAACCCTTTACACATCTCGATTCATTTAAGAGTCAACACAGGTATCAAGAACTGGTCTTATCCATCCTCCCTCTTTCCCCTCATTCTCCCACACTGTCCCTCCCTCATTCGCCCCCTTCCTCCCTCTCCTTCCCTCATTCTTATCCCTCAGCCTCCCTCCCTTCATCTCTCACGCCATCCTTCTCTCTTTCTACCCTCTCCTTCCCTCTCTCCTCTCGCCTTCCTTCCCTTATACCACCCCACCCACCTTCGCTCCCCCTCCCTCCTCCTCCTCCTCCTCTCTGACCTGCCTCCTAATCCTCATCCCCTTCCCGCCCTCCCTCCACCCCCCTCACCCCCCACCTTCTGACCCTCACACCGTCCAGGCTGCACCACCACCTCCCCACATGGGTCGTGTCGGCGGCAGTAGCGTTGCACATTTACGAGTTTCCGCCCCCAAATGGTGATGAACGAGGGGTAGATTTATGCCCACCAACACAAATCACTGGCTGCAAAACACACACACACACACACACACACACACACACACACACACACACACACACACACACACACACACACACACAGGTCGAATTAAATACCAAATTAGGAAAAAATTAAGTTATGAAGCTTTAAGATCTTGGCTTTTGGCATCATTCTCCAGTCAGCTTACTAAATAACTTAAGATTGTTTGAGAATTTGATCCTTCCGTACAACTCCAGTCAGTTAAGGTGAAGCAAAATATCATAAGGGAGTTTGGCGGTTAGGCCCTTGTTGACAGTACGTACTTAAGATAAAAATACATGTATAGTATCTGAGAATTTCCTCCTTAAAAAGTCGTATCACCAGTTAAGGTAAAAGAAAAAATACCGTAAGATTGTTTAAAGTTCTGACCTTCACTCACAGGCCAAGGTTAAGATAAAGACAATAATTTACGATTTATTGATGATCTGACCCCCCCCCCTCCTCTGCCCTGTCACCAGTTAAGATAGAAAGATTAAGTCACGTGTCGAGAATTCGCTCCCTGTAGTCTCAACCCGATTATGGTAGAGAAACACTGAAACAAAAAATAATTTAGGAGTGTTTTATCGTCCTGTTCCAGCACACAGAGCAGTAAGCAACACACACAACGCACCATCCAACACACACAACGCACCATCCAACACACACAACGCACCATCCAACACACACTAACACAACAAAGCTCCTAACACCCAACACACTCCTAACACCCAACACACAACACCCAACACCCAACACCCAACACACACACACACCCAACACACAACACACAACACACAACACCCAACACACAACACCCAACACACAGTACTGTACCCACACAGTATCTGCTCTCCGGCTCTGGCAGTCACAAACGCCTTAGAGAAAGTATACAAAATAAAATTAAAGTTTTTAAACTTCGAGGATGTAGTTAGGAAGAGGAGAGAGGCAAGAGGGAGGAATGAGGAGGTGGGGGAGAGTCGATGACACAGGGAATGAAAGAAAAGAAGAGAGAAGAAGAGGAAGATGAGGGGAGGAGGAAGAGAAGAGGGATGCTAGAGAAGAAAAAGTGAAAAGTTTGGTCTCCTGATCTAAACTTCGTAGGCCTGGTTGTCACTGGGGTGATGGAGTGTCCACTTGAGAGGGAGCGGAGGTGGAGGAGGAAAGGAAGAAGGAAATGGAAACGCAGATGGGGGGAAGAGGGGGAGGAGGAAGAAGAGAAGGAGAAGAAGACACGGATGAAGAGAATGCAGGCGGAGGAGAGGGGACGTGATGTGGGTGGAAGAAGGAGTTAAGGTTTGTATTCCCACACACACCCCTCACATTCACTCTCCCACACACCCCCACATTCACTCTCCCACACACCCTCACACCCACTTCTCCTACACACCTCACACTCCTACTCTCTCTCTCTCTCAAACACACACACACACACACACACACACACACACACACACACACTTACTCACTCTCCCGCACACCCAAGCTACGGAGGTGGTGTGATATTCTATGACTGTCAATTTTTTTTTACAATCTGACGTCGAATGTCTGAAGTAGTAAGTGATAACTGCTAAAGAGAACAACCTTCGCGTCTAACTTGTGTGGAATCTGTCCCATGATGCAATTAATAAAAATTAAAAAATACTGTGCTGATAAACTGGCCAATGAGGCATGTAAGAAAGAAAATGTGGGCCGTGACTTTGGCCTGTCCAATGCTGTACTTAAGAACATACAAGTCAAAATCATGAACTGATCTAGAAGAACTGAGAAATGCACAGAGACCTGACAGTTATAGCATTACTAAATATGACAAATGTTGTGACAAGAGGTACCGGTATGGCCAGCACAAGGACAGAACCAGACAATGTGATGTAGTCGTGGCCAGAATTTGGCTAGGGTACAGACACATCTGGCAAGTTAGTAACGCTGTACCCATACCGGAACACTCAGCATGGTAACTTAGTGATAAACCATTAAAGCATAACACTTGTACATTATATTATTGAATGTGACACTGTCAAAGACTTCAAGCCACCTGGCTTATTGTATCATGAACTATGTAATTACTACATTGACTCAGGAGTGCTTGAGGACATTCTGGCAGTATATCCAAAATTTGCTAGTCCACAGCGTAACACTAATGAATATGACCTATACTATTACCTCCTCTTGTGTATGACCCAGTGTCCAGTGTGGCAGTGATCGGTGATAACACCCTCAGTGTCAAGACCTGAGCTACTCAGAATTAGGCAAAATTGTACCTAAATTTTGCCAATAAAGTTGTTAAACTAAACCCAGACCTCTCTCCCTCTCACCGTCCTGTACCTCCTCTCGTACCCCTTACCTTCTTCTCCTCTTCACCCCAATAAAAAATCCCATGAGAGAGAGAGAGAGAGAGAGAGAGAGAGAGAGAGAGAGAGAGAGAGAGAGAGAGAGACAAAACTGTCTCATCTGTGCCTGGAATGGTCATGTCAGGGGTACACACAATGGCCTTAGGATCACCCACTGTTATCACACTCTGTGGAGGGTCCCGACAGCTTGACGGCCGGAGGAGGAGATGGAGGAGGCGTGAGAGGAAGAGGAGGGAGGAAATTACTCGTTTTAACCTCATTATTATCTACAAACCGGTGCCGGATGATCTTACAGAGTCGGTTTTAGACGGATGCATTTGTGGTGCCGGACGAAGAATGGCGATGATAGTAGAGCCGGAGCTTGATGATGATTGTACTTGAGTCGAAGCCGGAGCCGAAAAACGATGATTGTACGTGAGCCAGAACCGGACGATGATAGTAGAACCGGAGCCGGATGATGATTGTACTTGAGCCGGAGCCAGACGAGAAATGCGGTGTCGGTGACGTGAGGGGACGAACCTTCTCCATTGTCAAGAGGACGTGGTTGTGTAATCTTCATGTCAGACACGTCACTATTAACCTTCTCCGTGTCATGACATGAGGGGGAGGAGGAGGTGACAGAATGACAGCTGACAAGAGAATGATGAGAATAACAAGCAACAATACTTGAATATGCAACCAACCAATCTTAGTTTGGTTACGTAGTTTGTAGACATATATTTGCTTCAGGGGATTTCTGTAAAGAGTGATTTCACATAATCCTTAAAATTCCTAGGGATTACTTGAAATAACTGGTTACACAAATTCCCTGGTGAAATATGTGTGAAACTCGGATCATGAAGCCACTGAACCTTCCAAACCCAGACAAACTTAATCTCTATAAAGAAGGCAGGGATTTGAGGGGGAAACTGAGGGGTAAAAAACCTAACCTAACCTAACATAACATAAATCACAGATGGTATAATGACACACGGGTCTAAACAGTGTCGGTTTAGGCAGATTCGGGAAGGCCACTGGACTTTTGTCGCCGACTGCACACCAAGAGTTCGAATTAAAGCTATTCATTAGATACATGAGGCAAATGGCAGCTAAAATTTCATCTCCGTTACTGGGTTAAATTTGACATTTTCAACTGTTATTAACGATCTTTGTGCGAAATGTTTTACAACTT